CCTGCTCTCATTTTCCAGAGTTCTCAGTTGAGAAAGCATGTTTTACTTGGGCTGGGGCTTTCCTGGAGCTGGAGACCTCAGTCTCTGATACAGCACTGCCCTTCAACGGGAGTGCAATCACTTGCTTCTCTTAAATCCTCAATCTTGCAGGTCTTTTACAGTAACTGAACACAATAAGAACTATCTTTACTACCCATTTTACATTAGCAGTTTTAATTAACTAGTATGATGGTGTAAATATTTTAAAAAAAAAATTTTTTTTTTGGTTACAAATAACTGTAAGTTATGTTCCAGTCTCCTTTTCCAAAGAGCTCACCAGTTCCAGTTCATGCAAGAAAAACAGTCCAAAGATTGCAGGATTTCTGAAGGAAAAAACATATAAGGCAGCCCACAAAAATTTATGAGAGCCTGCATTTCCTCTGCTTGAGACATAACAAGTGAAGCACTGTCCAAGTGCAAAATACACAAGAGAAATGACTGTGGAATAAGCTCTCTCTACAAGGAAAATAATTTTAAAGTGCATCTCTCCAGCACTTAAGAGGTTAATAAATTTTCCAATTCCAATCAGAAGATGCATAAAATAGCACATATTTTGCACCTTACTCAGCCATCGTAGTTTTAGTTTCTCATTGATAAAGAGCACGGAGAAGGTTACTTCAGTCAGCCCCTTTGAACCAGGATTTTCAGTTCCCTTTTCACCTACTCGAAACCTCAAGACCAAAGTAGAGAGGTGAAAAAAAAACCCCCAAAAACTATATTGAGTGGGTCTGCAGGTGTATTTTGCTGGATACCGTTTTATCAGCTGCATAAAGAAGTGTCACTACTGCATAAAAATAGAAAAACCCCAACAACAAAAAAAAACCTGGGGTTTTACTTAATTCAGTTTTCTAACTTCAAATCCTAAAAAGGACTAAATAATTACACGAGAAACTCTGGGGGCTTATAGAGTTTTCCTGGATTTGGTCGTTTTGGTGTTCGCTGGCCTCTGCCCAGGGCCCCACCAGCCCCGCGGCGGCGGGGGGAAGCAGCAGAGCACCCCCTCTTCACCCCAAAAAATAAAAAAATCCCGATCCAACGGTACGGGACCAGTGGTCATGGGAAGCGTCGGCAGCCCCGCGGCCACGGCAGCTA